CCCTCGCCCCGATTAATAGCAAAAGAGAATCGATCGAATCGACGAGTTTGCCCGCCTAGTATATAAGTCGAGCAGAGATTTCCACGGGAAGCGGCGAGGTCTCGACGTCACGATGCTTATTAAAACTTTCACAAGGGTGGTTTCCTCTTGAGCACGATAGCACACAATGGCAAACGATCGCGTTCTTTTATATATATATGTATATATATATATATGTATGTATGTATATTCCTTCGAAACTAAGAAATAATAAATTTTCTTGGAAAATATATAGTACAGTATATCTTCTTTCGAGTTGATTCAAAATGGTGGTATAATTGATCCAATGAATCGCATGTTACGCATCTTACGCTGTTATAATAATTATTATCAGTTTAATCGAATTTTTAATATAGTTTAGAGGGGAAAATTTGTATCGTCGTGTAGAATTTAACGCGTAGGAAAATAATACTTTATATAAATTTGGATAAATTTTCGAATCGAATAATTTCCACACAAAATTTCCATTTTGATTGAAAAATTGAATTACGTAGGATAGGTTCTAAAATTTATAATTATCAAAAAACGACAAAAATTGATATTATGATGAAAATTATATTATGATGAAAAATTGATATTTTGATGAATTTTGTACAAGAATATGTATACGAAAAAAAAAAAAATGGAAAGTCTTAAACGAGCTGTCATCTAAGCCTCTTTGTATAAGAAAGAAATCGCGATAAAATTTTTGTATTATTCACCTGTCAAAGTGACACCGTCAATTGTGGAAAAATTAATACGTAATCTTCTTGATACGGTTCTCTGTAAATTCTATTTGACGGAACAAAAATATTTTTTCAATTCATTCTGTATATTTGGGAGGAGGAAGAGAATTTTTCGAGAGAAACGTAAAAATGTATATATAATTTCTGGTCGTTTTAAGAACTTGAACTTTGAACAATAATTGTTAAACTATGCAATGCAAATTTTTTAATATAAAGCATTTTAAGGCAAAAAGAAGGATCGATTATATTTTACAAATTATTAAAAACATTTCACAGAACTCGACTTCTTCAATTCTTTATAAAGAAAATAATAATAATAATAATTTCAAAGAAAACGGATAAACAACAGATCGCAACAAAAAGTTTTCCAATTATTCTAAAATTCTCGAAGCAAAATTTCTCGATCAACGCGGTAGTCAGCATTATAAACAGAAATCTGGCAACTGATTCGCGATGACAAGACCAGAAGAAATAGCCAGAGAGAAAGAGAGAGAAAGAGAGAGAGACCGAGGGAGAGACAGAGGGAGAGACCGAGGAAGAGACAGAGAAAGAGACTGAGGGAGAGACAGAAGTAGAGACTGAGGGAGAGACAGAAGTAGAGACTGAGGGAGAGACAGAAGGAGAAACTGAGGGAGAGACAGAAGGAGAAACTGAGGGAAAGGGAGAG